TTCTTTGAATGTATTTAAAATAAATAATAATAATAAAATTAAAAAGGGGGATCCTAAAACCTCTCAAAAAAGGGGGGAACCTTATAGACTTAAATTGAAATCATATAAAAAACATGTGCAACACAATTGCTACACACAGATCAATACATGGCTGGTACTATTATTCATATTATTGTTAAAGTTAATTACTATTAAAAACTAATTACCATTGTTGTTTTCCATGAAGTCCTAGAAGCACATTTAAGAAGCAGGCATTCGCCAACTGTGGGTTTCTGTGTAGCGCTGGCTACTGCATGCTCTGTTTTGCTAGGGCCTCACTTGGAGAGCAGGGCCAGTTGTTCTCACTTTTTAGTGGTTGGAGAATGTTCAAACTGATATCCCTTGTGGGGTAAGATCTTGGGGACAAATATTTCTTCTATTTCAAGGTTTCTTAAATTTCATATGATTTAAAAAAGCAAATAAGCCCCTTAATTGCTTCGTTAAGCTAGTCAACACTAATTAAGAAAAGTCAAGTGGAAAAATATTAGAAACTGCTGTGCTTGACTTTAAAACTCCTTCTTTCTCCTAGAGTGTGTTTTGCTTTGCTGAGGAAAGGGAGTTAGTGATTTTCCGTGATGGAACCCACTCTGACCTCCTGGGTTCTGAGTTTGAAATTGAGCTTCAGTCTTTTGGGGTTTGATCCTGTTTATGACAGGGAAACATGATTTCCCAACCCCATGGAAAAATGCCTGAAATGCCTTGTAAAGTAGCACAGGGGGTAACCCGAACTATTTTGATGAGTTGAGATTCAACAAGCTTGAAACATCAATTCATTCTCCTTTGACACAATGCAGAGTACAGAACAGGGACAAAGGGATCACACGAGGTAGCTCAAGCTTAGAGTGGGAGCTTTGCTTTCGAGTGCGTGTGTGTGCACGTATGTGTGTCACATGTGTTTGCACATTCACGTGTGTTTGTGTGGCATAAGTGTGATATAAGCAGTGAAAGATGTGAGGCAGGGAAACTTTACTTCTCTCCAAGACAAGTGACACCTGAATTCAGCCTTTAACCCTTCTCTAAACTTTGTAGCAGTTATTTGTCTTTGCTTTCCTGAAGCTTGTAAAAAAAAAAATAAATAAGATTTTCCTGGAACTAATGAGGCCGTATCTCTGATCGCATTTACTTCATTGGACTCTCTCTTCCAGAAAGAATGAAAAAACCATTCTAGTAACTTGCTTTGACTCTCTTTTATGGTGTGATAGTAAATAGCTCCTACATTGTTAGCACTTACTGGGTACCAAATTCTATTTAGATATTTTAGAGCTATGTGTATACTTAACTCTCACAGTAAACCCTTGAGCTGCACATTATCACTCCTATTTAATTGATAAAGACACTATTGCTGGGACCAGCAGAAGCTTAATGGTTATGTTGCTGGATTCTTATATGGCCGACAGCAGCTTAAGTCCCTACCCAGTGACTTGAAGCTCACGCTGGGCATGTATGCATGTGTGCCCAAAATCCAGAAAGGAGAATGAAGGAGAAGGGATTGCAATAAGGTCATCCCCCTAGAGGGGCTGATTTCTCAATTTCTGTCTCTCTCTTTCTCTCCAGGAGTGCACATGCTCTATAGCAAAAATCTCATTCTCCATTCTCTCCTCTCTCTCTCTCTCTCTCTCTAAAAGAAAGAAAAAAAGAAGAGAGAAAGAAAAAGAAGAAAGAAAGAAAGAGAAATAAAGAAGGAAAGAAAGAAGGAAAAGAAGAAAAAGAAAGAAAGGAAGAAAGAAAGAAAGAAAAAGAGAAGGAAAGAAAGAAAGAGAACAAGAAAAATATATCCTGGCTAAGAGAATAAAGAATAGTGCATGATAGCAAAGTGAGTAAGTACCTAAACAGGATTAGAACTCAAAGCTGCCTACTGCAATAGCAATGTGATTTCCTTTTATCCCACCATTGGAAAGGCTCTATTATTTGTAATCTCCTGAGTTAAATCAGTTAATTCTTCCTGATTCCAAATGAGAAGTTATTAATTCCTCTCTTAAACACTCCCTGCAGTTCCACAGCCCTCAGAACCTCAGCACATGTGGAACCTGTCAAAGGAATTTGGGCTGCTAAGGGAACTTGCTAGAAGGGGAGAAAATGTGGAGGACTTGGAGATTGGAATCAGAAGAAATTTTGTCCACATTGTCACTTGTGTTTGGGGAGCCCAGACCTGGGTTACTTAGGATTGTAGGTGGTCTCCCCTTGATGCATGACCTTTCATGGGTGCCTTTCTCATCGATTGTCAATGAGTAAAAATGATAAAAGTGTTGCTTTGGTCATCACAAATTCAACAGAGCCAAAACTGAAAAATAACATGCTATTTTTCAGGTTGATATATGCTGGGATTCCAACTGCATGGGCCCATTGGAGGAATAAAAGGTGGGTGTGTCTTAAATGAAAAATGATGTGATACATTGTGATATCATACCTCAATGAATGTGGTAAGGGGTTCAGTTCATGGGCTTTAAAGGAGATATAGTATCTTAATCCTGACTATTCCCATGGTATCACATGTGTCTCATCTGCTTGGCGAGACATGGAAGTAGACATCTTCTACCTGCCATGGAGGTTGAAAAGCATCCCACCTCACAGACTTCTGGATAAATAGTATCTAAGCTAGTCTCCTTAGGACCAAGGACCAGTGGAAAATGACCAGTTCTAGATTCCCTCCAAGCAGGTCTGAACCAGTTGATAATCCCTTACCACAGACTGAGCAAGACAGAGTCTGCAGGGAGGGTGTATAGGACAGTACACAGAGCTCTGATCCTTCAGACAAGTGTGCATTATCTTCAGAGAACAAATTACCTCTGGCCAGGAACTGCACATAGATAAACTAAGGCACAAAGTGTGCACAATTAAAATACTTCAATTTTTGTGCAAATCCTGACTTTAATTAAAAACAAGTAAATAAAAGAACCAAATAGATGGTACATAGTTTCTTTTATTTCTCAATGTTCCAGTAATCCACAACAACTGATTATACAACTAAAAATTATCAGCTCATTATCAAATAGTTCTCATAAAGAATATGAGTTAGTATCATGAGATTCTTTCCCAAGAAGATTTTTAATGAGAGTAATATAAGGTCTTCATAATAACAAACATTTCTAATTTTCTGTGAGGACCATTGTTACACCAACTGCTCACACACTAAGAGTCAGAAATCAAGTTTAAGCAGGCAGAAGGAGTAATGAAGACTTAGGAGATAAGAGCATGCTACATAAGTGGACCTTGGGAAATGGGAGGCTGAGCAGCCTAGAATGTAGTTCAGGTGACCCATGCTTGAATGTTCATGAGTCAGATGAAGAATTCAAGTTCTGGCAAGCACAAGGCAAGGTATCAATACTACAGGTAAATGGCTGAGTTCTTGGAAGACCTATAGTCTGGGGGAAGGCAGGAGACTAAAAACAGTGGAACCTCATGACTAAGAAAGATACAAATGTAGGTCCTAGTTCCTAAGAACAAGGTCAAAGGGACTAGAGATGTTAGCAGGGTTACCTGATGCATACTATGCCTCACTGTGGCAAAATAGATTACAATATACTAAGAGTTTCTGGGTATCAAATTCAGTCAGTGGATTTTAGCAAGCATATGTAATCATCTAAGCTCCACTGGTCCAAAGATGGGAGTGGCTGAAGGCCCCTAACTACCTTCACCAAGAGCAAGGCTGATTTGGGACCTGGATACCCATAAGTCCCTGGCTCAGAGGATTTCTGAGGTCATCATCCTGGGAAATTATCAACCTCATGAAGGCTCTCTCAAAAGAAGAATGACCTCTTTTTACAAGAAGAGAGTGAGTATGATAGAGGCCTGCGAGAGAGCTCATGTGAAAAGAACTAAGAGGAGGATACTTACTAACTGAAAGGAGAAAGCCAAGTCTTACCTATGTGAGCACCAGAAGGGCAAGTGAGACTAGGAGGGCCCTAATTTGAAAAGGTCTAGATAATTCATAGATTTTGACATTCTGAAACCAAAAAATCCCCCATATCCTACCATGAAGCATGACACTGAAGGTGACCCCAGAGATAGTCCCAGAAAGCTCCCTTCTCACATGAAGTTCTGGGAAGGACATAGTGGTGTTCTCTTCTTGTGTTTTTTCCTTCAACCTGCTCCAACTACTTCACTCTCCCATTAACTCTCAAATCAAGTCTTGTTTCTTTACATTTCAGCATTTATGTTTGTCTTGATGGAGCTCTCCCCTCTCTAGCCATTTTATAATACTTCTATTCAGTCTTTGAACTTAAGTCCACCCTTTTCACTATCAAGATTTCCTTAGCTTGAAGTAATGTTTCCTGGCTTTAACACCTGGATCTGAATAAGGTAATTATTGTTTACCTTATCTAATCATTGTAACATTTCCTAAGAAAATTCATTGGATTAGAATCAGAGTCACATTAAACTACAGATTAAAGAGTATAAAGAGACCTTACAGAGCACCTAGTCCTACCATTTCTCTGTTTAGGTGAGCATGAGGTCCAGAGGTAAAAATGACTTCCTCAAGGTCACACAAGAATCAGTAACAGAGGGGGAAGAAAACCCATGTCTCTTGACTCTCAATCCAGGATATTTTCCATGACTTTTTCTTGATTAAGCAATTTAGCTGGAGATCATCCAGCAAAGATGATATTTGCAGAAAAATTATGAGATGGGTCTGGGCTCTCTGCTGATATTCAGAAGCTATGAGTCCTGTTGTAAGCCCCTATTTGGGGAGCTCTAACTGAGTAATAAAGTCTCTGAATGGCCAGAAAGCAGCCAAGGTTGGGTGAGGTTACCTCTTAGGCATTGCAATCATTCCCAAAGGAAAGAAGAGACCCATTATGTTAACCTTTAGATTCCTTCCTATGTTTTAGTTATGGCCTCCTTTACCTCACCTTGAGTTCTGGGATAAGAATGTGCTCAGGGGTAGGGAAGGCTGTAATCCCCAGAGTCTTTCACTATAAACTTCATTTCCTCCCTTTATTGCAGTTGACTGCCCATGAACTCTATTAATATTTTGCAAATCGAGATCCCTAAAACACATGTTATTGTTAATTTTAACCTCATGCTAACTAGGATGTGGTCAAATTTTCACAACAAATTCCACAGATATTTTGATATGCCTTGAAAAATGCATTAAAGGTGACTCTGGGATATACACACACACACACACATTCCCCCCCCCCATCCACATATTTGCTTGTAATTCCTGCTATTTAGGAGTGGGTAGAAGTGGGTTGTTTCAGAAGAGGAACCAAAATACAAAGTGATTCAATTGTGTCACAGGCATGGCAGAAAGAAGCATCTACTAGACCTAGAGGGACAATCAAAGAATTTCAACTTTCTGAACTAACCATGGGTTGAGGTGGGGAAGGAACTGAAATCCACAAGAGAGTTTTATACTTTTGCACACAAAATCATTAAAACAACCACCACCATCACGACAACAACCAAAACACTTTACCACTCTATAAACAGAGTTACTCACTTAAGACAAATGCCATAGGCTTTGTAAGTTTGATGGGAAAAGTGTGTTTTTCCTACCTCTGGTTGGACCAATGTATCATCATGGGTATATAATCAGTCAGAAAGAAGGAATTCCTTCCTTCCTTTCTCCTTCCCCCTTCAAAGCTCTCCGGTCTTCCTATCTTCCTCATTTCTCCCCTCATCTCCTCTTTTCTCTTTCATTTCCCTTTTCTCTTCCTCTTCTCTTTGTTCCTTTACCTCTTTTCCCCTTCTTTCCTTCTGTTGACTCAACAAATATTTTCTGAAAACTTACATGTGCCAGGATATTGTGCTAGCTCTTGCAGATTCAGTGGTAACCATCCCCCTGGGAAACATTAACTACATGATCACACATTTCATAATTTAATTATACATATAACTATGCAACCTCCAAAATGAATACTCTTCCCTGAGAACATCAATTTATTCAAGACACATCTCTCAATGGAGAGATTTGGAAAAAAAATGGGGGTATTAAAAATAAAGCTATATTCTTTCTAGTAATCATTAGGTCAACGTGATTTCCTGTTTTATTAGGGGTTTTGTTTTCCTAAATGGCTCCCCATTTTCTCTCTCTATTATGTCTTACCTAAATCCTGGCTACCTCAAATAAGGAGATAACATGTTATAGTAACAGCATTTTTTCCTCACAACCAGTTCTTAGATGTTCTCTTAATTGATATGCATCGGAAGTGTACAGATCATGGTCTCCTCTCTGCAACCTCTCCAGAGCCTTTGCTTCACTAAGTTTCCTTGATGTTCCTATCCATGCCATTCCTCTAGTCAACGGGTTTACCACTATGGGAGCAAGAGTGAATAAGAATGAAAGGCAGGGGCTTTGGAGACAAACTCAGACTTGAAGATGCAACCTTTAGCAAGATACTTAACTTTCCTGAGTCTTATGTCCTTCAGCTTAATATAAAGGCAAATAGGAATATTGATCTCATAGGTTTACCTGAAGATCACATGACATACTATATATAACATGACTTACATAGTGCCTAGCATGGCAAGTGTGGATTTCACTGGATTTCTCAGCTGATGCCTAGCAACAGATTGAAACCAGATTAGAGTGTTTTATTTGGAGAAAAGGGAAACGAACAGTTCTGGACAAGAGAAGAACTATAAGCCTGTGGTCCCAGCTGGAGTCCACCTATCCCAGTGGAGCATGAGTGACATTATTGATTGGGTCTCACCTTGAGACAGTGGAACCTGACGCTTTCCCAATACTGTATCAAAGACTTTGTTTGAGGCATGAGAGGTGAAGAGGTGAGTAGAGGGAGATGCAGCGTATCCTGGGGAGGTGACTCCCAATTAGTAGGCCACAATTCTCCAGAGATGGAAGAAGTTGTGGCCTAGTGAAGGGGATCTTGGTAGGCACTAAGAACTTCTCTCCACCCCTGCTCAGATCCTCAAGCTGCCCAGTGAGGTCAGTGTGTCTAGGCACAGCCTCTCTAAGATTCGGATTGTTTGCAATGCCTGAGGAAACATACAAGAAGAAAGACTGGTGTGACTAGCTCTAGTTCTTGTAGTGTAATCATTTCTGAAATGCATGACACTTATCCTCTATTGGGGTCCACAATACTTTTAGAATCATCCCTATTGCATCACCAGTTTGCAATCTCTCTTGCATGTTTCCTGCCCTCCCTCATCTCAAAGTCCCTGGTTACCAGACCTTTAAACCCACACATTTAGTTAGCATGGGGCAAAGCAGAACTACAGGTGCCCAGTGCATCACCAGGGCCACCTTTGCCCCTCACTCCCACCATGGCACAGCAGCAGTCCTTCCTCGTTGAGATCAGGTCCATTACGACTGCCAGCGGTGGGAACTCCTTTTGTGGCAGCTGGTGTGCTGGAGCAGGGAACCTGAAGGGACCCAGCAGCATCTTAGCTTTGAG